AATGAAAATTACAGTTTTTAAATGAAAATCATAATTCGTGTCACGAGTGTTGCTTCGTGTTGTTGTTTGCTTACGAAACAATGAGTCAACTATGAATAACTATGCATGTGAATAATTACACGATACTATGAAATGAACAGTTTCATTGCACTTTTATTCCAACGTAATATATCGTATAAAAATTTTATTTGGCCCGGCAGATAAAACACATTCATACGCGTTAATATTCGGTATCACGGAAATGTATCAAACGCGTTAATATGCATTAACACTTTACAGAGTCTTTATTTCACGAAGTATTATTATTTGATAATTTAATTCTTGCAGTTTTCAAGCTTTGAGCGGAGTGTACGTTCTGAAAAAGAAAAGAGCCGCGGGTCTCTAAGGTGCACGTAAAATACCATTCGAAACTTTTGAAACGCCATGTCGGCGTATTTTTCATTCATTTCGTTCATTCGGTGAAAACAACGGGTAGTTCACGGTGATTCCACGGGAAAATGGATCCGCGTTGAAATCGCGTTCGCCCACGGGACAATATATTTCAAATGTCGAATCGAAAAAAAAAAAGAAATAAATAAATAAAGAAAGAAAAAAGAAAGATCGATAGATAGGAAAAAGGAATGGGAACCGGTGCTCGGCTGCATTTCAAAGTTGCGCGATCTCCTCGATTAAAAAGATTTTCCATTTTTCTGGGAAGCGTGTGCAGAATAATCGACGTTCTGTCGTGTCCAGGCCTCTTCTCTCTTCTCGTAGTTTCGTATTTTCTGGCTGGATCGTGACGGAGCCGACGAGGAGGTAACCGGAAATTACCGTAGGTACCACGGCAAATGGATTCCAAGCGTATTTTCCTCTTAATACGGTCACCTAGATTATATATCCCCACCGTGCACGAATCGACTTTCTTTCTCCAGTCTGGCTGGGACGTTCAACTTTCCAATAATTCTCAACGCGTCGCGTTTTAACGCTGCTCAGGCTGATATGCTCGTCGCAGTGGGATCTGTGTGACACTTAAGGAACGAAGCTTCCTCTCGCGTTGTTGCGCAACTTTTCGGGGAAACCGCGGCGACGTTTCTCGCCTGCGCGCGGTTCAATTCGGCCGTTGCTTTAATTTTTCCGGATACGCGTACGGAATATCCAACGCCGGCGTGCTGTTATTCCCATGGCGGTTGTTCATCGTATTTCTCTCGATAATTTTTTTAAGCCACGTCGCGAGTGGAGAACTGAGAATTCTTCGGGAATAAAGTTCGGCGGATAGCGAGCCGATCAGACATTTTTGGAATTTTTTTTTTTTCAAACGACACGAGCTGGCAGGCTGCGTTTCGTCAAGATAAAATCGAGATATCCGCTGTTCAATCGTTGAATTGCGTGCGCACAGAAGTTGTATTTTTTTCGTTTTCTTCTTTTCCATCCGTCCTGTTCAGCGAAACGAAGCACGTAGAGTTTAGACGCGCTCGAGGCAGAAAATTTACGCGATTCGTCGAACGCATCCGGAGATCCTTTGTCCGTAATAATTGAGAAACATACTGGCAGCACGTTTCCACGGTCACGTATGCGCGGACTCTTTACTTTAACATTAGGTATCGCGACCAGCTTCTGCTAACTACGTTGCACAGGGCAAGAGAAACTTCATTTTAAATATTTAACATCATCCGGCGAGAACAAATATTTCGGACAATGCTTTTTTTCGGTTTAATCGCTCTCGGTGTTGTATTCATTTTATACGTTTTACAGTCTTGTTTGAAGGAAATAATTTTCACGAAAATGAAAAGAGAAGCGGTCGAGTCTAATCTTAATATTCGAAAGTGTCCGAAGGAATCGAGGGAATTCGTTGTTGAGAGTTTTCATTCTGTGGTTTAACGATTCGTGCGAGAGCAATTAAACAGGACAAATGTAAAGCGTGCCGTAGTGCTCGTCCGCTACCGATCTCCCCGCCCTAAATTTTCGATTAGCAAGGAACGAAGCAGCTTCGCCCGGTGCTATCATGAAAATTGTTCGATTTCGCCGGCTATTGAAATCCAGCGTG